CCCAGCTGCATGATGATATGAGAGATTCAGGCGTTCTGCAGTGAAGCTGATGTATGAGAGCAGTTGCCACTTGCACAGGAGTGAAGGCTGGGCATGAGTCTACTATATTAAATACATGAAAAGGGCTTAACTTCCATCCAGTTCCGATTAGTCTAGTGGTTAGGATATCGGCTTGTCACGCCGGGGACCGGGGTTCAATTCCCCGATCGGAAGTTCTTTTTTTGTTTTCTCCTTGCATCTCTAACAGTATCGCAAGTCCGATAGCCCTCTTCTTTGCTTGATCAAAGAACATCTTGTGAAGCTGAAGTGCAAGTGATGAAAGTAAAGAAATTTTCTATGACTTTGAAGTTTGTTGATCGTGTGAACCCGTGAGTGCTCGTGTTGCGTCTGTTGCCACATTGCTGATCCTTGGACTCCGTCAGAGACAAGCAACTTGCGGAAAACCATCGGGATATTGATGGGAAGACCCCTGCCTCATCGTCATCTTTATTTCCCATTCCCTGGCTTGCTTCCTTCATGAGCGCCCCAAAAGCCACATCGACAGGACAAGCCCCTCCCAGAGACACGCCGTGAGCTGCATCTCCTCTGGGGCCACGCCAATCCCCCTCCCGGAAACCCGCCGCTAAGCATACCCGGCCCGTGAGCCTGCAGCACTGTTTACCCGGTTCTTTGAGCCCGGGGGGTTACATGCGGGTCGTGCCTTAATAAATCGTCACGGTGGCACCATGCCCTACCATGCCAGGCCAGGCCTCTCTCTCTGGGACCAGTTCTCGGCGACAAGTCTGCACGAACACAAACGCAGACAGGGCCCCGTCTTCAGTCGCTGCTCCTGTATTGCGAGGCAAGGTTCAACATACGGGTTCCAACCTCCTCCGGCGACGGACGTCGATCCTCCGCCGTTGACGGCCTCCCCGCACTTCCCCTCGCGAACCCCCCGCCAACGGACCGGATCCTCAACCCGACCGCATTGCCGACCCAGTAGCAGATCTTCCAGACCACGATGTTTCCTTGTTGGCCATTTTGCAGAGCATCATGGCCCCTGCTGGCCTTGCCACTCCTCGCGGAGGTGCCGGCTACATATGCTCAGGACGCCCAGGTGCGTTCCCGCTGCCTCGATGATGTGAAAGACCTAGGCGAGTCTGATACCACCTCCAGCAACCACTCACAGAACCCTCCGACATGGGTGTCATTCGCAACATTTTGCCTGCGGGCCTCGCCCTGGCTACCACGGGCGCCGCGCAGCTGACGAGCCCCGGCGGTGTGGGCCGTCTGCCTGCCTTGGGGTGGAACTCATGGAACGAGTACGGGTGCGACATTGATGAGAGCGTCTTCCTCAAGGTCGGCCATCACCTCGTGGACTACGGACTCAAGGATCTTGGATACGAGTACGTCAACATTGACGATTGCTGGAGCGACAAGGTGCTACGGAGAGACAACACAACAAAGGAGATCATTCCCGATTACGTCAAGTTCCCCAACGGCATCAAGCACAGTCGCGGATGAGATCCATAAACTCGGCCTCAAGGTTGGCATCT